ACAATGTCCAAAAACTTTAAAGTTTGTCCTTTATCCATTCATTCTGAACCCTATCCTTTCCACACCCTACCTCTCCTTTCCTTTCCCATCTACTACTCCTTTTCCAGCCAGGGACCTTTAACATAGGCATACCTGTGAGAATGAGGAAAGATTTCAAATATGTCAAAAGATCTAGTTCTTGCTGATCTTAGAATATAAAAATCATCACTGTCCAAGCTTTTATGGTGCTCTGTTTCTAAGACCTTAGCAGCTTGCAACACAGTCCAGTGTTCAAGACTTTCCCCAGGGAGGATATACACAACTCTATGTGACTTTTAACCTCTGTGGACCCGAATCATCATCATCTGTATAATGAGCCTTGACGAGATCACCTCGAGGTCCAACTCCATGATCCTATGAAAATGTGAGGCATCAAAACCAAGAAAGGGGAACTTAAGAAAATGGGGGTATTTAAAGTTCCCCCCAAATATAGAAAGTTAGGTTTAGGGGCCTGAGGAAGAGGCTAACAAAGACAGACCATTCTCACCTGCCTGAACTATCCCTCTTCTTACTCTCCCCCTAGGGAAATCAACCAGTTACAAAGTTTGAAATCCCCACTATTACATGGGAGCCACCCCCATGGCCTCTTTGCCTTCCCAATCTACTTTTCTAATTCTGTCAAGCTGCCTCTGCAAGTGGGAACAACAACCCCAGAGGCCTCTCTCCAGAATAACAGATGCCAAGAGACAAAGTACCATCTCTTTGGAAAATGAGAGGGTTCAAGGATATGAAGCAGGGAGAAAGAAGAGACAGGCTTTGTAGTGCAATCTTAATGTCTAAAGAAATGGGACAGAGATGCAGCCATCCACCTCATTGAAGCGGGGGAATGGGAAACATCTAAGCAATACTCAGAATTTCATGGAAGCAAGATTTGAAATGAAAGTGTGGCCCCCATACAAATATTAAGGACCATACACCTTAAGACAAGAGTTAAATAACATGAGACAGTATATAGGTAAATATTAAATGCATAGTATGTATATTTCACTGTACCATAGATCTAGAAATAGAGAGGTCCTAAATGATCATCTAGGGTCACCCTCTCCACTCCCCTTTTACAGGGGAGGGTGTGGGTAGCCCAGAAAACTAAAACAACTCCATTTTTGTCTGTAATTCCTCTATCTTGCCTCTAACCCTGTTCATATTGTAGCCCTTGCCCTTGCTTATGACCTTCCTTACTGCTGAAACAACAGGGACCATCCTATCTTTTAAGGCAGGGTTACAAGAGATAGCTAACTTGAAGAAGAACCTTTCCTGTCACTAGCCCCAGCAACCGATCCTGTCCAGGCAAGGAATATCACATCCCCTATTCCTACCCTGCAAGCTCCCAGCAACAAGCCCTGTCCAATCCAAAGGTAACCATACTCAATTCACCTCCTGCCTAAATTGAAATCTACATAAGCTTTTTTCTTTCAGGGAGTGTCCATCTGTGCGGATGGGGCTCCCTTGCTTGCAAACTTAATAACCCTTGTTGGTCCCTAAATTTCTGGTTTTGGTTTAGTTTTGGTTGTTCTGGCACTGACAATTTTACCCACAGAGGAGACAGATTCACTCAAAGTCATCTAAGTAGTAAGTATATGAGAAGAGGGAGATTGTACTGTGGAATGAAGTAGTCAGAGAATACTTCATGTGGTAAAGAGGGAATTCGAGTTGAACTCTGAACATTTTTAGAGAAGCAAAGAGAAAAGAGAAAGACATTCCACACAAGGGACATATGTTAGCAGTGCTCCATTCTTTTAAACTTCTGGAGTCATATCCCAGGGACCCCCTAAGATCATCAATCAGTCCATTCCACCCACCTCAAGTAGTGGGATAAAAGTTTGGGATTGGGGCCTGAAGGCACACCATCTCAGTGCCCTATTTTTTAATATTAACCTCCTCCAAAACTTTGACCAAAATTCACATCCTCTAGGACATCCACTCAAAGCACCAGCAAAGGACCTTCTAAGATACCTGAATTTGAAGGCATTATGGCCCTAGCTCTATCATTTACTAACTTTGCAACTTAGGGCAACACTATAGTTTGCCCAGCTGTAAAATGAGGAGATTGGACTAGTTAATGCCTAAAGCCTCTGGTCTCTTCTAGCTCTCATGTTCTGAAATTCCATATGACAGCTACCCCTTTTTTTACTAAGTCCACATGCCCAGCTCATGGTAGGGCTTCTCCCTTCTCTCTCTGCTCCCCATCTCCACCTCCCATGGGGACCAGTGGGTTTAGGATTGTAGAATTTAGAGCTAGAAAAGACCTTAAAATCTTCTAACCCAGGGGTTCTTAACTTGTTTTTGTATCAGCCTGGTGAAACCTATGGATTCCTCAAAATTATGTTTTTAAATGCATAAAATAAAATACATAGGATTATAAAGGAAACCAATTATTTTGAAATAAAGATGTATTTTTCCCATCCAAGCTTCCAGACCCCCAGAATCTATCCATGTACTTTTTATTTGGGGGGGGGGGGTTCATGGACTACAGGCTAAGAACCCTGATCTAACTCCAACCCCTTATTTCTACAGATTAGAAAACTGAGGCTTCAAAATTTAAATAACTTCTCCAAGATCACATATAGAGTAAGTAGTAGAGCTAAAATCTAAACATTGACCCAAATTCAGTAATCTCAGCACTGCATCTCAGTGTTTCTCTGCTGAAGTGGGTTACTGTGAGAGGAAGAAAGAAATTAGGATGCCTAAGAGAGGTCTGGGGGACACCAAATGCCCTCAATCATGGTTCTCTTTGAACATATTCCCTCAGAAGGTCAAACTTCATATTTATAAAAACCTGTCTTTTTTTTTTTTAAGAAAAACTGTGGCTTCTGGCATACCTCACCAGTAATATTATCAGGCTTAAAGAACAGCCTCAGGTTGTTGTCTCAAACTTCCTCCCAATTACTCAGAAAAATCATTCCTAGTAGAGTAGGAGAAATTGACCTTTAGAAATAAATATGGCAGCACTTCTGGCCAAGTGCTTCCTGGTAACTCATGGATAGCTATATTATCATCTGTCAACTTATAAGGCATGAAAAGAAAATGCTTTATTTGGCTAGTATCTACATGGCCTACAATTCCTTTTTGTAAGGAGCAGATGTGATAGAAAAATATGCCCACTCACCACCTTTTTCTTACAAAGTAAGAATGCTTGACCTAGATTCAAGAAAGACCCAAATTCAAATCCCAGCTCTGATATCTGTGTGACTGTGGACAAATCACTTCCCTTTGCACAAATCACTTTTCAGATTACTCCTCTGAAATAGAAGGATAACAGTACTACATACTTTCCAGGGTTGTCATGAGGAAAGAACTTTTAACCTTAAACTGCTCTAGAAATAGGAGTTTTCATGTATCCTCAAAAGTTGCACTGTTGAAATAAGGGATATATCTCTAGAAATAGATTAAAGCTATCATTAAAATTTTAGTAATTTAGTAAAAGCTGCTTTGATTCAACAAATTAAAATTCAATAAACATAAATGAAATGTTAGGTCTTAGGCTACAAAGAAAGACACAATACCCAGCTCTGTTCAGAAGGAAATTATACTATTTGTAAGCATTGATTCTGAGAAGTGAAATTGCTATATGACTTCAAATCAGGACTGTTTCAATGGCACTTGGTTACTCCACCCAATCCTTCCCTGGTACTGCCCTCAAGAAGGTTAGTTCCTGTGGACCATCCCCCATTTTGTGAGGCTATTAATGGATAACAGTGGGAGGAGTCCTTGAAATTGACCCCAAGAAGATGCAATTCAAAAGAATTTGACTCTTTTCAAATACTTAGGAAGAACTAGTGAGTGAAGCCAAGAGGTCACCTAAGCCACAATATGACATTAATAGCCAATATTTGTACAGCACTTTAGGAACTTCAATCTTTTATGTATATATCTCATTTGAGTCTCAAAGTGACTCCTTGAAGTTGCTAGAACAACTATTATTATCTCCATTTTAATGAGGAATAAGCTGAGGCCCAAAGAAGTAGCCAAAGTCACACAAGTGAGGAGTAGCAGAATCTGGATTCAGATCCAAGTCTCCCAATGCCAGATTCATTGCTTTTTCACTACACCACACACTACATACAGAGCTCTGACTTGTTCCAGTGCTTTACCTGATAAAAATATACACCCTATTTACAGAAGAGCAGATATTGCCAAGGCCATCCCTGGTACTAAGTCCCCCCTGTGTTCCTTCCATCTCTCCATGTTAACAACTGGGGGTAAATCATTATGGATCAAGTCCCTCAGAAGTCCTGCTCTTGTCTCTGACTCCCTGGATAAGAAGTATCTTTCCTCATCAGGCCCCCAGTGATTCTTCCTTTAAGCACCATACTGTCCTAGAGTCCTCTGCATTCACCATATTCACCCTTCCTGGAAGACTCAATTTGGTCTATCCCCTGGAAGATCTATTATGATGAAATGACCTGTCTCTCTCTGTTTTAATTAAATTCATTAGCAAGTTGCTAAGTGTGGTTCTGGTCCTTGGGGAAACTTAGCTTCTTCACCTCTTATCTTACCTAAGCTAGTTCTAGATCTGGTCTCAATAGTAGCCAATGCATCCTAGATGAAAAAAACACTCTCAGCTCTGGAGGTGATAATCTTTAAACATGATGTCTTCTGAGAGTTTTGAATTCAGTAGTTGATTTTTTAGATTGCTATAGCATATCTATGAAGTAGGCAGACATTATAAATAAACCTACTTCAGAGAAAGGGGTCTACTGTAAAGGGAACTCTAAGAACATAAAGGGTTCTTCATTCGGGAAACATTTAGGAAGCCCCTACTCCATGTAAAGCATATGCTAGGGGAGATTTGGGGTTTACATTAGGTATGATTCATCAAAATGAAAGTCAGGATGGATTCAAATATCTTTCTTACTCCGTAGATTCAAATGCCATGGCTTTATAGCAACAATTAAGGCCAAAAAAATCACCTTTTTTGGTGTCTTTGTTGAAGATTTACTTCTTACCTTACATCCTTCTAGGTTGCCCAGTCCAAGGCCATCCTATGCCTAATATCACCTGGTTCCATGATCATCAGCCTATTGCTACATCAGCAGAACCAACATACCGCATGTTAGCAGCTGGGCAGATTCTTCAGATTACAAATGTCAGTGGAGGGTCTCAGGGTGAATTCAGCTGCCTAGCTCAGAATGAGGCTGGAATGCTAGTGCAGAAAGTATCTCTCGTGATCCAAGGTAAGGAACAGCATTGCCCTATGGTTTGGTTTGGGTAATGGTTTGCTTTTTTGTTCAACCTGTGATTTTATCAGCATGCAGAATTCCTGATGTGGAAATTCTCTCCACTGATGCAGTTCAACAACTCCTCTGTAAATTCTAATTTTAGAGAGCTGCCAATGGCTCTGAGAGATGATGGGGCATGCATGTGGTCACATAGCTGTATGTATACATGCACATACATGTGTCATATACACATAGGTACATATACACAAGTCACGTAGCCATACCTATACATGGGTTGTGTGTGCATATATATATATATATATATATATATATATATATACACACACACATATATATATAGTGTGTATATAAATATGTGCATGTGTATATATGTGTTCCGTGTATATATGATTTACATATACATGCATAAACACACATGCGTATATATGTCTCAGACTTGAACCCTGGCCTTCCCAACTCCAAGGCCAGTCCTCTATCCACTATGCCATGCTCAATTAATGAATGAATGAAAAGCAATTATAAAGTGCTTGTTGTGTGCCAGGGACTGTGCTGAGAGCTGGGATATAAATACAAAGAGCAAGACAATGCAAACAGGAAAACAACACTTTAGGGAGTGGTGGCTAGAGAAAGTGTTTGAGTCTTGGAAATCACACTGGTTTGGTTATGTTCTCGATTTCTTGAAGAAGTCAATGTAGAAAACTAGATAGAATTTTCAAGTTCTGGTAAAGCATTAGAAAGTAAGGTTATTTCTGATTAACATACATCCTTAGAGACTGAACCCCAAAGCCAAACAAAATCTCAACCTTCTTAAACTGAGTCTACTTAGGACATTTTGCAATTGAAACACACCCCCTCTCAAGCAGGACATAAGAAGGGGATACATATCTAAAATACACCTCTGTCCTGAAAGTTACAGCTAGGGCTGAATACCAAAGGTGGCAGTTTTGTCCAAACAGCAGCATATTTCCTCTATGTTCATTTCTAGTATGGATGATAAAAAGGATCATTAGGGAAACGTAGGTCTTGTGCGCTCATTCGGCTGACAAATGGCCCTGATCTGGGCCCTGTCTGGAAGCTTCTGTTCAGAACAAGTATTAGAATTTGAAGCATAGGCTTGGATTCAACATCACCTCCCCAGGGATACCCTGCCATCAGGCATCCCTGCGCATCCTCCTGGTGCTAATAACAGTAGGTTCCAAAACAGTGGGACAAACTCCAATTGGGCCTTTCTATAGAAACCCATTAGAAACCTCTAGCTTGGCACTTCCGGGTTTCTCCATAGGCCTATGTGAAACACTTCAAAAAGAAATTCCATTGCACGTTTTTTCCAAAATGCAGGGTTCTGAAGGAGAGGAAACAGTTGGATGACAATATGGAAAAGGTAGCCTTGGAAAATTAAAAAAAAAAATTTCCAAGCCCATAAAACTTTTTTCCCCCTTAAGCCCCCTGCTCCCACCTATTCACCCCATAATAACATGGCTTCATAGGCAGAAAAATAAAGATCAGTTTCCCTGCTGGCCAGCCCTCCTACCCTGTTATACCTCAGCACAGGGCTGGGGATCTGCACAGTTTGTATGGCATCATCTTGCAAATGAAGCACTAAAAATTTACAAGCCCACAAGTATTTTTAAATATTCTCCTGCCCCTACCTACACACACATATACAACATAAGAAAGTAAAACAAACTCTAATTTTCTACATATCATTTCACGTCCCCAGCACTTATCATAGTGCTTGGTATATGGTATGTGCCTAGTAAGTGCTTATTGTTTGATCTCATACAATGTACAGATAAGGAAACTGAGGCACATACCAGTAAAGTGACTTGCGCTACTCACAAAGGTAGTAAATGCCACAGCCAAACCTAGGTTCTGGGACTTCAGATCCCTTCATCCTCTAACTAAGATCTTATTATAAACAATTCTTAAATTTAAAACATATTTATCTGAAGAAATAAGTAACATTATGGGGTGGAAAGAGAATAAAGAAAAGTTCTAGTGTAAGGATGACCCATAAAACCAAACTTGGAGTGATGGGAAGGGGATTAATAGTTACACCGGGAAGAGAGAGCACTATAAGTAACCCAAGGCTATTTTCCAATTTTACATTGTGGCTGCTGCAGAATACTGGTGGTCAGTGGACAAATTGGTGGGATGTTCAGCCTCATGTGGGAACAGAGGAGTTCAACAACTCCAGCTGAAGTGTGTGCTGAATAACACCGAGGTCAACCCTTCATATTGTGCAGGAAAGGCTAAACCAGCTGTCCAACCTGTAGCCTGCAACCGAAGAGACTGCCCATCCCGGTGAGTCTGTCCAGCAGAGTATCTGTGTTGGACTTCATCTAACCTATGTCACTCAGACCCAGGGCTAGAGTTTCATGTCATAGGATCACAGGATGTAGATCTCCAGAAGACCTTTGTGATCAGCTAGTGCAACCCTTCCATTTTATTGATAGGGAAGCAAGGGAAAGAGACTAGTTAGTCACAGAGAGACATCATTCCAACTCAGGTCTTCTAGGACTAAATTCAGTGCACTTTCCACCATAGCAAGCTTTCTTCTGGAGAAGCTGCCTGTCAGCTGCCTAATTCACAAGATACTCTCAACTATGGTACTGGGAAAGCATGAAAAGCCTTACATCTTTTTCTTCTCTTAGTAACTTGACTAATCAATAGACCAGATTCAGTTAAGAGATATTTATCCATTTATTTCTTCAGGACATAATCTTGACACTACACCTACTTAAAGTTGAAGCAAATCTCCGTCCCCCCCATCATTCTTACCAGTTCCAAAGATTGCTGTGTTCTAGGTTTGGGTCCTTCCAAAGGTCACTGGCAGCATACTGTACAACTTTGTGGTCATTAGAACCTAGAACCCTATCATGATTTTACCCAATCTTTATCCTTCCACTCCAAGACTGGAGCAGATGGACACCAATCATTCTTTGTTTTTCATCTCCTCTCTAAATCCCCCAAGAATGGGCCCCCTGATTTTAGGATGCTGGTCAATGGGGAAGGAATGGGTTCAGTTAACCTGGGGCCATACTGGTTGAATGTGGTGGGTCAGTACCCAGCTGTAACAGGGCTAGGCACAGACTGCTACAATACCATTTTATTACCTTTCCATAAGACGTTCACCTCTTAGGCGACTGTTCTGTCTTTTGCCAGCTGAGTCATAAGGAACAGTTGAAACCAGGAGAGACTCAATGAAATATGAAACACACTCATTAATATCAGCAGTTTGACTTGCTGACGGGAACATTTCCATGGGAATGATTAATGTCCTTTTATACCCTTCCTGAACTGTAACATAGCCTGTACCTTCTCCCCCCTCCCCAACCTCCACCCCAGCTCCAGAGAAATTGCTGAAATGGATATTTGGAAATCAAAGTGGATTGAAACGCAGGCCTGAGATTCACCAGGGACATAAGAAGCTGCAAATTCAGCCCTGCCAAGCTGTGTGAAATGAAGAAGAGATCTTTTCTTTGCCAGGAACTTTTTAATTTGATTTGGTGATGGTTGGAGTCAATCAACCTAATTTAGTCCTGTAAATGAAATAATAATGGATGGGTCTGCTTGAGTTTCAGTGCCCCTAAGGAGTGTTAAAAAGTACCTCCTGCTTACTTCCCAAGTAATCATGGCTGTGGGCATTTCTGCTGAGCTGGGTTGTTGGTTGGGACTGTATACAGAGGAATCTTCTCTCCAAGGCAATTGCAGTATGCAAAGTTACCACAAACCTAGATTTCCTAGCAAAATGAACAACCACTTTGTTCCATGTTCCCCCAGGGATCCTCTTCCAAAATCCCAATTTTCCAGGAAGGGAATATCACCACCTCTTTTACCTTTTATCATTCTTCAGATTACACACTTCTTATATTTAGCAAGGCTAATCCCTACAATTTTTATGCAGAAAACACAGTAATGGTTAACACAGTTAATAAAAGGATCTCCCTGGTCATTCTCACCAACAGATGTAGAATCATGGTTAAACAGAGGAAACCAGGTTTCTATATTTTTGTTCCTTAGAGATAATACAGGTGTTCCTTATAAATGCTTAAAGCAGACATTCTCCCTCATCAACATCAGAAGACTTTTTTTTCCATGAGATTAAAGCCACCTTTGTTTTTCTAAATGAAATAGCTAAGAAGTAATGAACAACTTTTTGTCTATTTATGTTTCCAATGTTTTTCTCACATTGACATCTATTGTAATGTGTCAAGATCTCAATGCCACATTTTAGGAAAGACTATGAAAGCTGAAGCACATCAAGAAAAGAGAGACCAGGATGGTAAGGGAATTGGAAACCAGACCAAAAGAAGATCTCACCAAGCAACTGGAGAGGTTAACTTGTGGGGAGCTTGAAGGCTGTCTTCAAGTACTTAAAGAGTTGGCACATAAAAGAATAATCAGATTGGGTCAGCTTGGCCCCTGAAGGCAAAAGTAGAAGGAGTGGGTTTCAGGAAGGTTTCCACTTCTGTTTGCATTGCCAAAAGGATCTTTGGAACAAAAAGGACAGAAGAAAAATGATTAATGTGTATTGATATCCAAGATAAGGAGATAATTGGTGAGCAGCTAGCCATCCTTGACAAGTTCAAGTAACAAAGCCCAGATGGATTTCATTCTTAAGTACTGAAAGGTCTGACAGATGTGCTCACTGACCTACTGTAAGTGAGCTTTGAAAGCTTTGGGAGAATGAGAGAAGTACAGCAAGATGAGAAACAGGCAACTATCCCAATTTTCAGAAAAAGGAAGAGACTAGAGTCTGCAATGAGCCTGATTTCAATTCTTGGCAAAATTCTAGACTGATACATTGAAAGACTAGCTAATGAACATCTAGACAAGGAAGTGGTGGTCATAGTCAGCATGGTTTCATATAGAACAGATCATTATAGACCATCCTTACTTCTTTTTTTGTTAAGATTACTCAACTGATGTCAGAGAAAAGCCATAAATATCATTTTACTAGATTCTAGTGAAACATGTGAAAGTCTCTCATGCTGTTTTCATAGATAAAAATTAAGGGATACCAGCTAGACAGTAATGTAATTAAGTGGATTCAGAATTGGTTGATTGGCTGGACCTCCCAGGTAGTAGTAATTAATGGTTCAATACCAGCGGAAGGCAGTCTGCAATAGAGTGCCCTGGGGATCTATGTTTTGCTATGTCCTTTAGAATTCTTGCCAACTGACGTGATAAAAGTATAGAGGGGAGGGCATTCTTAGTAAATTTTCAGGGGGCACAAAGTTTTGAAGGATAGATAATTTCTTAAATAAGTTAAGATTCAAGAATATCTTGATAGGTTAAAGCACTGGGCAAAATCAAATGTGATGAAATGTAACAGGGAGTTTAAAAAAATGAATTTCTCAAATACAACATGAAAGAGACAGAGCTAAGAAATGGCTCATTGGAAAATAACCTAAGAGTTTTATTATACTACTGCAAGCTCAATATGAGTCGACAATGTGAGATAGTGGCCAAGAAAGCTATTATCATCTTAGGTGGCATGGTGAGAAGCATGGTGTCTGGGACAAAGGAGGCGGTAGAGCTATCATCCTCTGCCTTGATATGGCCAACATTATGCACAATTGTGGGCACTACATCTCTTGGCTCTGAGCATTTTCTCTGGCTTTCCCTCCTCATCTCTGGCTACTGCCTCCTCTGGCTTCCTTTAAGTCCCAACAGGAAGGCTTTCCCCAACTCCTCTTAATTCTAGCGCCTTCCCTCTATTATTTCCAATGTATCCTGAATTTAGCTTGTTTGTATATATTTGTTTGCTTATTGTCTCCCCCATTAGATTGTGAGCTCTTTGAGGGCAGGGACTGCCTTTGGTCTCTTTTTAGATCCCCAGTGCTTAGCACAGTGTCTGGCACATAGTAGGAACTTAATAAACATTTATCGCTTGAGAGTGTCCAGAGGAGAGCAACCAAGATGGTAAAGGGCCTTGTATTCATGCTGTAAGAGAAAGCCTAATTAAAGGGAAAAGGTATATTTATACTGGAAAAGAGCAAAATTAGGGGTTGGGAGCATGACAGCTGTCTACAAGAATTTGAAGGGCTATCAATCAGTCAAGTATTTACTATGTGTCAAGCACTGGGCTGTCAAGCCAAAAGAGAAGAATTGTTCCATTTGGTCACAGGAGGTAGAACTAAGAGCAAAGGTTGAAAATTACAGAGACAAATCTAGGCTTAATGTACAGAAAAACCTCCAAACATGTTGGGGGTACGGGACAGTATTCTGAGATTTTTTTCTACATGCGCAACTCCTAATATGAAACTCTCTACTGAAAGAGTGTGAATCTTTAACATGGACTTAGTTGCCTGGGCCACTGAGAGTTTACCCATGGTCTACACAACTAATCTATATTAGAGACAAGTCCTTCTCGCTCTAAAGCTGGCTCTCCATCTACTCTGCCATGCTGACTCTCTCCTAGTAATCACAACAACCCAAAAGTAGAATGACTTTCCTCATATGTTGCTGGGTTCTGCCTCATGTAAGGTCTTTAAGCAAAGACTGGATGGCCATATGTCAGGTGTGTGGTAGAGATGACCCTTTCTCAGCATAGGTAGGCATTAACTAGACCCAGTTCAAACCTTCTTTCCCCTTCTAATGGTCTTGAGAGTCTCTGGAGTATGACAACTACCAACATGGGGAGGACTTACACGTAGCACCTTCATGATCTTCTAATCCTTACATGAGCTGACACTGTTAGTTTTCTGGGTATCTTTCAAAATCTTCCTTTTGGGTCCATCGTCTAAACATTTAAAGAGAATTCTGCCTGTTGATTCCACACTGTGTTATACACAAAATCGATCCACGGTATTGGTTATGAAAAGTGACATCTATGTGTCCAGATTACCACAAATTAGTATCTACATAGAGAAAGGTAAACTTTGGACATCTGGGAATCTCCTTCTTGTGGCAACCCATGATGCAATCCAAGTCCTCGTGGCTTGCCTAACCCTTCTCTCCTCTTCTAACAGGTGGATGGTAACTTCTTGGTCATCCTGCACTCGAAGCTGTGGGGGAGGGGTCCAGACTCGTCGAGTTACATGTCAAAAGCTGAAAGCCACTGGAGTCTCGGTACCTATGTCCAATGATATGTGTTCCCAACTGGCCAAACGACCTGTGGACACCCAAGCATGTAATCAGCAGCTCTGTGTGGAGTGGGCCTTCTCTAGTTGGGGCCAGGTAAGGGACTAGACACCTTTTAATTTCACTTTAAAGGTAAATTTTTCAGTTTTTTTTATAGTTGCTTACAAAGGTATGAGCAGAATACCACAACTGTGGCCTCCCCTTCTTCTGTAGAATATTCTTCTTTGCCCATCTCTCTTTCATCCGGTTTCAAGTCCCCTTCCTCATGCCTAATATCATAACCTACTCCCCAAATTTTATTACCTCATTCTCTATTTTCACTCTCCTGATGTCTTTCCTGGTACCCTGCTATTCTCTGCCTTATCATCCCTTTAGATTTTCACATTTTCCTATAATTTCTAAGGTCTGCTAGAGGTACCTACACCCTCATGCTTATCTCTGATAGGGCGTATTTTTCATTGTCTGCCTGACAATGTTACGGAAGATGAATCCTATCCAGTAGGTATCACCTCAATACCTTTAATATGTCATTTCAAGCACCGTTCCATTTCCAAGTCGACCCCTACTTCACAAACATAAGAATAAAGTAAGCCAGATATAATTGCAAGAAAAGAAGTTTGCAAAGAAAGACTATCATTTGGAATGCAATTCCCATTCCCGAGACTGTACAGCAGGTAGTTGGTTTACTTTTCCCCCAAAAGCCTAGAAAATGGGAAAAGTCCTGCACATGAAATAGTAGCCTAACAGCCATTATCAGTTTGAGGCTAAAATCTTCCATTTTATTTAGGCCATTCAAGAACTGACAATCAAGTTTTGAATTGCACTGAAGGGTGGCATTTGTTCAGAGGGCTCTGAGACAGGAGAATGTGTCCCTATCCAAACATTCACACCCACATTTCTATGAAAATGCCTTTGTAACAGTGACATGTGCATTCTTATTTCTCCATCTCCTTTACTTCGACAAAGCTAGGAGAAATAATGCTGGCATTTCCCTTGGGGAATTAAAAATATTTCCTCAACCTTCAAAAACCTGGCTTGGTCTGATGCCCTTTATGGCTGAAATTTCTCACCTGCTCCTAAATAACTCCCTGTGGTATTATGAACATCACAGCCAAGAAAGGACCTTTAAGGGCCCAGAAGTGACTCACTGCCTTAAGAAGTTAAGTATAAAGCTACATCCCACTATAATGATCAGAAAGGAGTTGTCAATCTTTTTGCTGTATTGAATACAACTAGAGATATGTGGGGAATTGGCTAAAGCCCAATGAGATTTGTGTCTTCCAGAGATGATTATTATAGTGGCATTTATTGTAAGGGGAGTTGAGACCTTAGATTGTCCCTTTCAGTTCCCAAAAAAGCTTTCCTCAGCAATAGAGTAGGGCCAAGTCAGTGCCAAAGGGCTGGCTGGCTTCCCCCATCATTTCCCCCTGGCATTTTCCCAAGTGTACCAAACTCCATTCCCTTCATGCCCCAGGTTTCACATCTGCCCCATGATCACCACAGAATGCTCTTATTTTGGCAAGCCTTGGAGATGTGCATTCCTTCATTTTTTCTGCCCAGTTTTTAACCTGGAGACTATGAAACCAAGGGCAAGTTGGGGAGATGGCAAGGTTTGGCTTCTTAATTTTACAAATAAAGAGTTATTGGTTTTGAAAAGCAATAGCTCAGTGGGGGGCCACATTGTTTTCACTGTCCTCCACTCCCAGGGTTCCACTTACATTTCTCAAACTTTATCGCAAGATACACTTTCAAATGATCAATGTGGAAGAGAAAAAACAAAGATTCTTGATCTGGCTCCTCATTTGTTACTAGTAACCACTTTATGATAGAGTATAGTGCATTTGAGCTATAAGGAAAACAATCCTAATCATCCAGTGACTCTTTCATTCCCAATTTCTCATGTCTTTGAGTAATTTGATTTTGGATGGAACTAAAAATAAGAAGAGTCCCATGTCCCTATGCCTCCAAGTCTTTTTGAATTCACTAAAGCCCATTTGGAGGATCAGGCTCTGATCCTTATGCCTCCTACCCCTCACCAAGAATACTCTCTCAGAAGAGGCTGGACTCCATCCCTCTCTTTCTTTCACACAATGCCTTTCTTCTCCCTGGTCTACAGTGTAATGGGCCATGCATCGGGCCCCGCCTGGCCGTGCAGCACAGACAGGTCTTCTGCCAGACAAGGGATGGAATCTCCTTACCTTTTGAGCAATGTAGTGCCCTCCCAAGGTAAGAAAACCCCTGCATCCTTTCTCCCACAGAAATGGGAACTGAAGAGCTTTCTAACCAAAATTCACTCTCCCTCCCACCCTCCAGTTCCTAAGGATAGGATTTCACCACCTCACTCTATCACTCACATTCACTTTCCAAAGTTTCAGAACCTTCGGGGGTGGAGGGGGAGATATAGGGGGAGACTGAAGGCTAGGGTGATAAGACAAGAACACCAGTTGCTAAATGAGTAAACTTGGGTGCGCCTACCCCACCGTTTGGGCAAAGAATGCTACCCACTGAACCCACGAAAGGGCCTCAACAAGATCTATCCCTGGCCCCATAACAATCAGAAGGCCAGCTCAGGCCAAGAAAACCCTGACCCTGATCTTTGATATTCCCAGGGCAGAGAGGGGAGGGGAGGGTTGACAGTGGCCTAGGACTGTCCTCTAACCCTGAGTCACATAAGAGAGATTTTCTCAGTACAGGCATCCCATTTGGTCTATGCCAAAGCAATTCCCACAGAAGCAAACATTCACCTCATCTCTCCCTCAGCAGTCTTCCTGAGAGCCAGGCTCTGTCTGAAGGTACATTCAGCTGCCTGTCCATTGCAGAACAGAAGGCCATACACTCCCTGGCTTACTTGTGTCAACATCCTTCTTCTCTCTGCTTTATCCAGGGCTGTATAAAGCCCATTAAACAGACATTGGTCCTGCCTCCTCAAAATCCCAAGACAGCAACACTGAAGAAGAGAGTCACATATAAAGCACACCCACCTAGACCCCCACTACCTCAGTAGTCAAAGAGCTCCAATTCTGTTAGCATGACTATTCCCTCAACCAGCACTGAACATTCTAGAACTTAGTGGATGGTCCTTAAGGGTTGCTATATCCAAAGAAATTCACCAACTTTCGGCCAACCCTTCTAGTCTTCAGATTGCAGACTAACTCTCTATCACTAAGATAGAATTTGAGCCCTTTCCAGGCTGGCAGAGCATGTACTTTGCTGGCCAGTCCTTAAAGAACCCAGGGTTACTCCTTTGCCATGATTAGGCATGGGGGAGGGGGGTGCGGGGAAAGGAAGGGAATAAGCATTTTTATAGCACCTACTACATACCAGGCAATGTGCCAAGCATGTTACAATTATTGTTTCATTTGATTCTCACAACAACCCTGAGAGGTAGGTGTTATTATCCCCATTTTACAGTTGAGGAAAATGAGGCAAAAAAAGGTTAAGTGACTTGCCCAGGGTCACACAGTTAATACATATCTGAGGTCATATTTAAATTCAGGTCTTCCTAACTCTGGACTCAGCACTCTATCCACTGTGCCACCAGCTGCCTCTAGTCAGATGCAAGTATACTGAATAAATACAACAATTAGGAGGTGGCATAGTAATAGGACTATAGCTGGATGGGACCTTAGAGGTCATCTAGTTCAACTCCCTTATTTCACAGATGAGCAAACTAAGACTCAGAAAGTGACTTCACCAAGGTCACAAATTAACATGGCCATTAATTAGGTCATCACAGCTCGAGGATTAAAATCCAGGTTTCTTGATTGCCAATCCAGTAAGGATCTGTCTATGTGGGCAGGGCCACATTGGCTTCTCCTTTCATTCCCAATGTTTATTCCCCATGTGTTTGCCCTAGCTCAGCAGGCACAGAGAGGACAAGTCCCAGAACAGTAATGATGATTTCCAATGAAGCCACTGTGTTCCGGTCATGGATATGGTGAAGAGAGCACTGTATTTGGACTTCAGAGACTCTTAGTAGTGGTGTGACCGTAGGCAAGTCACTTTAACCTCTCTTTGCCTAAGTTTCCCTATGTGGGAATGAAGATAGTACCTGTACTAGCTACCTTGCAGAGAGTATAGGGAGGAAAATTTAAAACTGAGAGAAAAGGCCAGTAGTTGTTGCGGTAGAGGTCTAAATTTCTAGAAGGTAATGCCGTCTCCTGCTCCTTAAGAACGCTGGTAACCCCCCATGCACTTCCCCTTAGGCCTGTGAGCACTCAGAACTGCTGGGCGGAAGCCTGTGGAGTACACTGGAGGGTCAGCCTGTGGACACTGTGCACAGCAACATGTGGCAACTATGGCTTCCAGTCTCGCCGAGTGGAATGCGTGCACATCCGCACTAACAAACCCGTACCAGAACACCTGTGCTCCTGGAGACCCCGCCCCGCCAACTGGCAGCGCTGCAATATCACCCCTTGCGAAAACAGTACGTTCCAAACCAAAAGAATCCTCTGCAATATTCCAGCAGGGCTGCGGGTCCAGAGGGCAGCCCCGAGGGCCCGGCCCCATGGTTAGTGCTATGCAACAGGTTTTCTTAAGGATTACAGTCCCCAGGCTGCATAGACCAGTGTCCTCAAAAGGAACCTTTTCCGTGTGCTTATGTATCTGTACACATGTGTGTACAACGGTATGTGCATATGTACATACATCTACACATAGAGTGCACATGTGCCACAAAATCTGGGTTCTCAATTTATTGCTCTATTGGTCAAGCATGGTGGGTGTGAGCTGGGGGTTCCGGCCCTCATCTGGAGAAAGGGAGAGGTTAGGCTCCTCTGGGGAGAACAACCGGTGGGAATCTAAACACACTCAGCATCCAGCTCACGTGTGGGCAGCAGGCAGCAGAAAAGCCTTGCCAATTAAAATAAGCATTATAAACACCAGAGAAGAAAACCATGAAGTCCACTTGGAAAACCACCATTGCAGGGTGTCGCCATGAAACAACAAACATCCCTATTATCTGGTTTCCTTCCCTTGTGGCCATGCAGTAACCAGAACTCTTCAAGGCACCAACACACATGCATTTTGCTATTTGACACCCTTTTTATAGTTACGCAGGAGTTGAGGGCGGAAGTGGACTTCCCCTCTTTTTTACAGATGAGGAAACTGAAGCCCAGAAAGGTGGAGGGACTTGCCTGAGGCCACTGAGCGAGAGCTAGAGCCTGGATTTTTCTGCCTCCAACTTTCCTACTCTATTAGAGCATGTTCCTGTCCCCCGAGTCCAAACTCTCCCTACCCCACAATCCCCACAGCAGAATGTCCAAATTAGCTGAGGATTTGTTTTTTTACACTTCTCAAATCCTTCTGTCATAAGGACTATGTTTCTATCTTAAGGAAAAATGCAGAAACCATAGGACAAAAAGGAGGAAATAGAAAATTAATCTAGGCATTCCATTCTTCCTGTCATGTCAGCAAGAAAACATTCTTATAGTGAAAGAGACAAGGAGGTGCTGAACACAGTGAATTTTTTAAAATGACATTGATTTGGTTGTTCTGCTCAGTTGGCAAAGAGGCTCCTAAAACAATGACAAATTACAAAACAAACAGTTCACCTTAACTAGAGCAAATCACCAATGTTGTCTTTTTCCTGTTCTGTAAAGTTTTCTGTTCATCACATCAGCAAATATTTCCCAAATACCTGTTGTGTGCAGAGCCATTCACTGGGCACTGTAATGCGGCATTACAGATCATTACAGATCTATAGCATGCCTGGTAGTATAGCATCCAGAGACCAGGTCCTCTACAGTAAAACCTGACAAGTTGTACCAGTGCTTAATAACAAGACACTGTAATAGCATTCATCTACCATCAGACACTACCTCAAAGTAGAGCAGAATTTAGTCCATTCAAATTCAGTTAAACAAACAGTTAAGTCCCTACTATGCTCCAGCACTGTGCTTCGTGGTGACTATACAAAGAATAATGAAATCGTTCCGGAGGAGATTACTGTCTAGAGGAGTGAAGGGGAGGCTGCTGGCAAGAGCACGGCAACATAAACAATTTAGTAACATAAGGAAGAATATGATTGAGGTAAAATTCTATGAGAAATTTTATGTGTAAGAGACCTGAAGGAGTTAGGTCTGTAGGATTACAGGATCATACATCTAGAACTGGAAAGGACCTTAGAAATGAGGAAATTGAGGCCCAGAAAGGTTGTCACTTGCCCAGGGTCAGAAGTGGGATTTGAACCCAGGTCTTTCTGCCTTCAAGTCTAACACTCTATTCATGATACTTCTCATTATCAAAGGTGCCTCACTGAAAGGCTGACATCTTAGCTGCCAAGGAGTGGGTTATAGTGAGTCTTCAGTATGCTCTGATTGCTTCTACATCTATGATGAGACATGTTAAAGATGCATTCTCACAGCATCGATGTAATAGAGGCACCATCTTCTTTTTTTCTCATTTGCCCTTTTTTGTCCTTCATTTTATAGATAATGGTGGGCTTCTTCCTTTTCCTTAGTGTCCGTTTCTTCACCCTTTACACTGTCAAGCTTGCCATGACTGAGAGAGGATGAAGGCCTTAAGAGCAGTCGCAGGCAGGCTAATGCTAGATGGTGGCTGGAAAGGAGAGGTGGAAAAGGAAGCCAAGGTTCCCATCTCCTCTGCTGCCAGGGGAGATGCCATCAGATGGGAAGAGGGGTCTATCAGCCTGAAAAGAGAAACATGCTTATTCTGGGCCCAGATTCACCAATTCCATAAAGCTGTATTTAGCACCTAACAAACATGTGTAAGGCATCAGGGCTACAAAGAGAGCCTCTGGTCCACCCAGACTCCCTTAACCACGCCCCAGAGCCTGCCTGGCCTACACAGAATGGCCTTTGTTGATTTGTCTTTATTTCATCGTTTCCTTTCTGTCCCTTCTCCCCACCCCCCCTCCTCCTTTCCCAGTGGAGTGCAGAGACACCACCAGGTACTGCGAAAAGGTGAAGCAGCTGAAACTCTGCCAGCTCACCCAGTTCAAATCTCGCTGCTGTGGGACTTGCGGCAAAGCCTGAAGATGGGAGCAGGGCCTTGCTCTGCTCTGGCCCCACACAAAGGACTGGTGCAACCAAGCGGGACAGAACTCAAGCCTTCTTCATTTTATTTATTTATTTTCCCCTTTCTTCTGCCTCCCTCCCCACCCCCCACACACACCCTCATTTGACTCCCTCCCTGGACCCCCTCCTTGATTATAAGGGCCTCGACAAGCTTTCCCTTCCACACTTCTGGAAGATAGAATGCGATAAAGGCAGGAATAGCTAGAATTATAAAAGGAAAGGAAGAAAAAGGTTCTAGGCTGAGTCAGGCCCAGAAGAAGCAAGCTGCTTAAGGGGGCTTCCCCCTACGATGACACAGAGAAGCTAGGGAAAGGTGAAGTCCACCAAAGCCACCACCGATGCCATGGGCCCCAAGGGGCAAAGCCTCCACCATGCCTAGTTAGCTCAACAGACAGGAGGAGGAAAATTGAAAAAAAAAAAAGTGGAGGGGGTAGATTTGTATGTATTTACACAAACTTTGGACAACTAACAGGGTGTTTGTTTTGTTTTAGAAGAGTGTGTGTGTGTGTGTAACACAGGATTGTCTCAGTTTGTCTCATCTGCCTGCCATATCCTCTTTGTCATAATGAGGACGACTGGAGGGAACCAAGAAGAGCAGGCATTGAGCTGGAATGGGAACCAGTCTAGAACCCAGCCCTTCTCCTTCTTTAAGGGGGAAAGTAGGAAATAAGGTCATAAGTGAATGGGATATAAAGGGAATGAATTGATAGTGAAGGGGATGAAGGAAGAAGGACTAAGAATTATGAGGTACAGTATTATCTATAAAACAAAGGGGATGGGGAAAGAGACAGGGAAAGGGTGCGTACACCCTTCCAATGGAACCCAGTTCCAATGGGAACTGGAGGTATAGTCTGGTACCATGTCAGAGGTCGTCCTTGACTTAAGAGTTGAAAGGGACATTGGAAGTCATCTATTCCAACCTATTTTACAGATGACAAACCCAAGGCCCAAATATGTTAAGTGACTTACTCAAGGTCACATAGTAAGCAACAGGGCTGGGATTTGAACCCACAACCTCTGATTCCAATCCAGCCCACTTTCCTTTGCATAACCCTGCCTCATAAGAACCAGTTATGCTGGGCTCAAAAATGCCATGTGTCCCTTCAACTCATGGGCATGTGCTCCCTTAAGTCAGCCCTCAGAGCTGGCAAAGTGCTTTCTGTTTGGTAAATGCCCAAATCCTTCCCTTGGGAATGAGGGAGGCTTCTGGGGAAGCGAAATTCCCCATTTGAGGCCATTCTTTTCTATGCTGCAGCATTCAAACAGGATGGCCTAGTGACTTGTAGTGGCAGGGGCTTTCTATTGACTGGCCAATGGCACTGTAGGAGCTATGTGTGGAATAGCAGGGACTGGAAAGCTTCAGCCTTCTCTCTCCGTGCCTTACAAGTAGGTGTGTCTTGGGCAGTGGAAGGACCTGGCTCTTGTGAGGCCTTTCTGCCTTTGTAGCTCTGGCAGTCAAACAAGGTTGTAACCCCCTGTTATTTTGTATTAGAAAGCTTCATTCAACCAACCATGAGCTCCCCAACACTAATCACCATTATGCTTCAAAGGCACACAAAGACTTTATTTGGGAGACTGATTTTGGAACAACTTCCCGTTTCCCTTGTTATGGCAAAACCTGGTCACCGATGCCATACATAGCACACTAATGACTGGGGAGGGGTAGTGCCTCTAGAGTGAGCCACAGTGCTGCCTCTCTGCCCACACCAGGATAAGGCACTACTCAACTCTGGGAGTGCTACCACCAGTGCCCCAGCTCTATCTTCAGCCTTAAAATTCATTTGGGGAAGTCGACATCAAGGTCAACGGCAATGTTCCTCTGCCGTATCTTTCCCCCATGAAGCAATGAGGAAATGGTCAGAATGTGTATCTCTCCGTACTTCCTCTTCCTCCAGAAATGGGCTCCCAGAAATCATGTTACTTAGAATCAGTGTAAGTTTTATTTAAAATAAAAAGAGAATGTCTTCTATGTCTGTATATCTTTTGTGTATATTTATTAGGATTTCTTGTATAAAAAGTGCAATATTAATAATTGTACATGATGTTGTCCAGATAAAACTATCCGGGGTGGGGGGGGAACCTTTTAATGATCTTCCTGAAATTGTGTTCCTGTCAAATCGGTGGTGATATTGTATGTTTTTCTCTTTTAAATGGCACTTGACATCTAACTTGGGAATACATTCATTCACTGTGTACAGAATACATGGTAAACTCTTACATGTGGGATGATGGGGCAATGAGAGGAGCTTAATTTGTGACATGGTAGTTTTGCATGGAATAAAGGGCAGATCCCTTTAATAATAATGGAGTGATTGTTTCTAGTTCAGTAGCTAATGGAAAACAGTGGGAAACTGTACATTTCATAACTAGTGAAACCTTTCCAGTGCAATCACCAGTACGGTTTTTGCACCTGGGACTATGCTTTGCAGAAATCCCCAGAGAGCCACAATTTGGAATGGAAAACCCTGAGCTCTCTTGCATGGAATGAATGTACTTTCAAATGTTTGTGAACTGTGACTTGGCAGCATCGAAATAAGAGGAGAAGGGTTGCTAAATACTGTGGAAGGATGTGACTCCTCCCTGAAAAACACAAGCCTGTATTTATATTTTTTGTACAGATAATGCAGCTTATTTATTTAAATTCTGTTGTCAGACTCTTTATTTATGAAGTCTCACTCCCACCCCTTCGTAACATGGTTCTCAGCAGGGTTCCTTTCTTTGGTCAGTAACCTTTTACAGCATTACTAGTCAAGTCAACAAGCAGTTAATAGGTCCCTCCTATATGCCAGGCATAGCACTAAGTGACTGGGATACAAAGAAAGGCAAAAAATAAATGAAAACAATACAGGCCATACTCAGGTAGAGAGAAACTGATAGTAGACACCTAGAAATCAAACAGCCACACCCCTGGAAGAAGAAAATGCATTAAAAGGCTGGACATTGCCTTGTAGAAACAACAGAGAGAAATCATAGATTTAAGTCTGAAAGAGACTCTACAGTTTATTTTATCATAGAATCCTAGGGCTAAAGCTGAAAGGGAACCCAGAGGCCATCCAGCCTAGCTCAACTCCCACGTTTTAGAGATGAAGAAACTGAGCAGGCCAGGAGTGGTCACTGGAGGTCACACCAGGAATAAGTGGAAGGGGCAGAATTTGAATCCAGGGTCTCTGACTCTACAACTAATCCTCTTCCATAAGCACCACAAGTCAACATGAATGACATTGGTTGGATCTGGCCCCCAACATTGACTCTATGTATCTGATTCCTAGCCTATAAAATGAGGATCGTATTTATTGTGTCAACTATAAGGACAAGACATTTTGTTAACTAAAGTGACCTGAAAATGTGAGCTACTATTGTAAAAGTTTCAATTTCCTGACCTCAAATGACAACACATAGCACACAGGGAAATGTACTGAAAATCACTTCAAGAGATTATAGCATAGGCAACATTAGGAAAATGAGGCACATTCAAGTGTAGAAATGACTCACTGGGCTGAAATTTCTTCTGGGCATTAGCCTGCCCACCAGCCCTTGGTAGTTTTCTCCACGAAGAAAAAGAATGCAAAGTATATTGTCGGCACATGCCAATAAAAGGAAAGAACAGAATAGGATGGAGTTTGGGGTGAAGGTAGCAGTAGTCTGTGGTCTGAGTCAGTACCAATAGAAGAGCTGTCATAACCTTGTAGGTCACAGGATTTACATATCTGTGTCCAACTCTGGCCACAACGACCTTGGAATTAAAAATGTGGAAATAACCAAATTAGCCCATATAACTCATATGTAAGGTTGGGGAGAAAGGACAGTCCTTGGAGTGCTCTTAGTTATAATAAATGGACTCATAGAATTGGAAGGGACCTTTAAGAAATAATATATAGTCCCTGCTTTAGGAAGATTGGGTTCATTTTACAAATGAGGCAGCTAAGACCCAAAATTCAAAAAATGTGATGTATGGCTCTGGGTAGGGGTGAGATGGGAACAGTTCTAAAAGTTGTACAGGTAGTAAAAGTAGGAAACCAAAAAACTAAAACCTCAGTCTCATAACTCAAATTCAGTATTATTTTCATTCCAAAATTCCCTTACAAAGTAATTTGGACATCTCTATGGAGTGTCTCAATTTGTTAACCACACTGACCAAGATTTATTAGCAGAAGATATGTGTATACATACATACATATATATGTATTTATACACACACACACACATAATTGATGATCACATAATCTAACGGAAAAGGGAATTTTCTCATAATTGAATCATTTCCACCATTAACATTCTATCCAAAGCACAGTGTGGTATGCAGATCATGAGGTTGATTTTCTTTTTTTAAACAAACGCACCAGAACTCACCCATCCACTGGAACACAGCTGTCTCAGGGGATGTGCCCCAATTTCAACATTGCAACTGCTCACAACATCCCCAGAATAATTTCAAAACTGCCCCTAGAGTATGAATCACATTTTTTTTAAAATTCTCTTAATGTGACAAACCAGTTTGGCAAAAATGTTCGGAGTCCCAGGCAAATTGGGATTCAAAAAGTAATGAGACCTTTGGGTATAAGCTGGCTTTGAAGGAAAATCTAAAGAGAGAACTCAAAAAATATATTAAGCCATGGCAGCATTGCTGAGATAAACATGTTTCCTCCACCTTAAAAGCTGTTACTGAAGAGTGACACTCATTTAGCTAAAAAAGTTCTAATGTGTAAAAGCAAATAAATGCTGATCCCCTACCTTCTATTCTCATATCATAGTATATATTGAGCTTCCCGCCCTCTCCCATCATCCACAACGCTGCCTGGTTCATTTTCCTAAAGTTCTGCTCTCCACATGTTGCTGACCTCACTCAGAAACCGTCAGTGGCTCCCAATGCCTCCGGGATAAAGTCCAAGGTGCTTTACCCTGGCTTTCAAAGCCCTCCACCCTCTGATCCTAAACTGCCCATCGATCCATTGTCATTACTCATTACTTCCCAAAACTGAAACCAAAACTTCAACAAAACTGATCTAACCATAGCCTAACACAGTATGCATATTATCATTATCCTCCCTTTGCTCACCTGTTCCACCTGTCCCCAACACTTCTCTACTCTAAAGAAATCATATATTCCTTCAAGAACTCATTTAAGACCCAACTTCCCTTCCCTCACTCCTCCACCCATAAGGGTTTTCTCTCTCTCTTTTCTGAATTAAAATTTTAAAATAAAAAACCAGTACTTAGAATCAGAGATGTCCTAGTAAGTGTTTATTTAACAACTGGCTTTCCAGGAAAAACACACTTTTAAGTTTCATCTGCATTAACATTTTCTCCATTATTTTCTTAAGCCTATACAATCAACAAATAAATCAAGCCCTGCTTTATAGCTTCCGAGGTTTAAAGACAGACTGGAAATTTAACAATCAGTTATCAGTACAAGGGGGCTCCAACATACCCCCCCCATCCATCTCCTAATTTAGAATTTGAGATATGCCACTTCATATTTTTATCTCATGAATATATTGTATATGTATATCAAGTAGCACAGGGGAAAATCATCTCAGAAGACATGAGGGGAAAGGAAGGGGAATAAACATCACATAGCACCTAAAACATACCAGGCCCTGTCCTAAGCACTTTACAAATATTGCCTCACTTGATCCTCACAAAAACTCTACGAGGTAGATGCTATTATCCCTACTTTACAGCTGGGGAAACAGGTAGACAGAGGTTAAGAAATATCCTGACTCTGACACTTGTTAATCATTTGACCATGAGGATCTTACTTACCTCCCTGAAATTCAGTTCACACATATATAGAATAAGGATAATTGTGATGCTCTATCTACCTCACTAGGGTTGTTGTGTCAATCAAATAGGATTATTTTTATATATTGATTCAAGTATAAAACATACCCATGAAATGAAGGTGCTTTGAAAGGAAAACACACACACACACACACACAATTTCATTGGAAAAGAATTTTCTCTTAATTGAATCATTTTCACCATTGACATTCTATATAAAGTTGTATATATGATGTGTATATCATATATATGTATATATACACATATACATATAGGGTGTCCCAAAAGTTTTAGTGCAGTTTTAAGCTTTATTAGTTTAAACACATACTTATTTATTATAGTTTAAACACATACTTCTATGCAGTGATTTTATGTATTTATGTATTTATTTTAGGTGCATGCATACATATATACACAAATATGTGTATATTTATGTATATATATATATACACATTTATGTGGTATTTTTAGTCATTTTTTAATCATATCCAATTCTTCACAACCCCATTTGGTGTTTTCTTGGCAAATATACTGGAGTGGTTTGTCATTTCCTTCTCCAATTCATTCTACAGATGAGGAAACTGAGGCAGAGTTAAGCAACTTGCCCAGGGTCACACAGCTAGTATGTCACCTAGTTGTATACACACACACACACACACACACACACACACAGGTATACAAGGTGTTCCAAAGTCTTAATGCAATTTTACACTAGTGCAAAAATCTTAGTGTAAAACTGTACTAAGATTTTGGAGACACCCTGTATATTTGCATGTATATATGTACATGCACTTGAAATAATTACACAAAATTACTGTATAGAAGTATATTTTTTACTATGAAAAGGGTTTTTTATTTCAATTCAAATCAAGTTGTTTTCCTCATTTTTATAATTACCACTTCCCTTGGTTTTCATCACTTTCATCACCATTCTTTGAATCATAGCTCATGACCTTAGAGCTAAAAAACTTTTAGATCTGCTAGTTAGACCAGAAAGAAAGCTAGTCCCAGCGCTTCAGTTGACAAATGAGCTGAAGCCCAGAGAAAAGTGACCTGCTGGAAATCTCAGTCAAGTTTTTATGTACCAGCTAGAATGGGAGGGAAAAACCAGCCTATATTTGGACCAACACAGTACAGATGCAGGTGAGCCTACAGGCTTATAGGTGTGAGAGTATGTGAATACGTATATAGAAAGATATAGAGAATATCTTCTTTCCTGCTTTGTCTTTCCTCCCTGAGACTACAGGACTCCTAAAATCACTACTTTTTATTTAGTAGCAAAGGATTTGGCTCCCTATACCCATTGAAAAGCAAGAAGCTATAGATACGCCCCTTCCAATCACAACTTTATCTGTTCCAATCAACAAAAGCCTGCCTGGGTAAGGCTAACTCACTTTGGAAAGTTTAGACCAGATTCCACTGTCCCACACACATACCCCAAAAGGCAGCACAGATGCCCCTACCGGTGTGCACGGGCAGAGTGTTTAATAGGGCACTGCTCCCGATAGCTCCAGCTTCAGAAGCACCAAGGATCTGCCCACTCAGCCTGCCCAGGGGCACGATGCCCCGGTAAATCTGCCTATTGAGTTGAATACAGAAGAAGGTCACAGTGTCTGAAATGAGATCCTTGATGGTTTCTGAGAAGGTTTGCCGAAGAGTTTGGGATTTGTTGGAAATAAAAAGCTGATGCTAGAAATATAAATACTCACATGCCAGCAGTCAAACAATGGCCTGCTCACAGTCCTGTGGTGGGGAGGAAGTACAGAAGGGAGAGGGGGGTGTTAAAATGGGATTTAGCTTTTGGAAATC